TATATATATATATATATATATATATATTTCTGTTATACACAATAATCTTTAAGAATATGGAATTCTTCATATTTCTCTTTCATATCTGCAGTTTTTGGATATAAGTTTTAAGCAAACTGCTATGAAAGTGCATTCCATAAGTTTTATTTTACTAATACTGCACATCAAAAAAAGTGTGACCTAGAAATATCAATCTGTTTTATCTAATTGGCTTCAATGTGGATTGATTCTTTATTTTATTTTATTTTTAGGTCATCCACAGTGAAATCCTATGCTGTGCACGTAACTTCCAAGAAGGTGAGTGGAATTTATTCCTGGATAGATAGATAGATAGATAGATAGATAGATATATTGGACCTGAAACCTTAATATATTTTTATGTAAAAAATTAATCCTGATTGTGAAGCTAACTTCATTCCATCTGTTGTGGTTCATCAACCTGTCTATGGACAGAAAAGCCTTATATAGCATTTCTCATATAAATCATAATAGCAATCCTTATAATCAGGAATGGACTTCAAAATTTTTAGCATCAGGTTCTCTGCCCAGTTGCTGGGTGGGCATGGCTATGGTGGGTGTGGCCTAGTCGGCCTCCTGCACCATGCAGGGTGGGGGCCTTTTCTCCTTCCCCAGGCTCTGGAGGCTTTCCTCAAGCCTCTGGGAGGGTGAAAACCGTCTCCCCCGGGCTCCAGAGGCCGGAAACAGGTGTTCCTGGCCTTCCATAACTTCCAGGAGGCCTGTTTTTTTCCCCTCCCTGAGCCTCCAAGCGGACCTTGCACTTACCTTGCATCCAAAATAGGCCATGTGGAGACTCCTGGTAGGGGAGGGGGTGTCCAGGGAGGGGCAGGGAAGCGGGAGAGGGGGGTAGGAGGAGATGGGCCAGCCAGGGGTGGGAATTGGAGTTTCTCTGAACTGGCCATAACATTAGCTATGGTTTCTTCCGAACATGGGCAAACCCATAGCAGCCTACCCCTTCTTATAATAGTCATATTTGTTTCCTCAACAAACGTAGGTAATTAACAGGCCCAACAATACTTTAATGTGCTATAATGTGATCTGAAATGTTAGAATCTTGAATGTTTAATGCCTGAATTGTTTCACAGCCACAGTTTTCCCATGATTTCCCATGATGAGCAAACTTTTCCCATGATGAGCAAACTTTGACAGCAACAGGTACACGTTACAATAGTTGTGGCTCCACACTCCTGCAACAGAGTGCAGTGAACCACTTCTAATGTCTTCTAATTCCTCCAGATTACTTATCTGCTTCCTTCGCTGTTTCAAGTCTGTCTTTCTTTCCCAATCACTTGAGACTGGATTTTATCAGGAAAATTCATGGCAGGTGTGCCTGACACACAAATGAACGAATGACTTCTTTATTACCACACGGCCAAAGGCTAGCTGCATAAAATAACCTATAAGCACTAAAATGTCTAGACAGTAATAAAATACTTAAGTCAAACAAACAGTAACCTAAATGCAATGAGAAATTATATGCTACAGCTGCTGAGAAAGGATTACCAGTTTTACTGGTGATGCCAAGTTATCTGTTGCTGCGTTCTATATGATACGGCACAAAATTAATATTGCCTGACAAATGAGGAGCGGAATGCTACCAAAATGTTATGCCTTACAGGAAAATCCAGCTTGGTAAAAGGCTGTCTTCATTTACTCTGTTCCTAATATATCTTATTTATGTTCTTTTTAAAGCTGTCTAACTGCCTATATATCTCAGCTTAAGGCAACTGCTATTTTTTAAAACCATGTTCATGATCCTGAAAAACTTGAATGGAGTCCCTGTAGTTTTTCCAATTCAGAGAAGGAATATTAATATTTCCTTTGACCCAAAACAGACAGTAAAAATAGTATTCCTCTTAATATTAAGTCTCTAAATGCTTCGAAACTGCACAGAAAACATGGTTTGGCATCACATTACATGGATGAGTTAAAGAAAGAGACTCTGATGACAGGATGCTAACACTGAACTGTATTTTTATATCTAAGACCTACGTTTTTACCTATGTTTCCTTGCCCACCTCTTTCACCATTTTGAGTGTAAAGGGATTCCTTTCTAGTATAATACATACTTTATATCTTGATTTTTGAAACTGATTTTAGAGATTCCTAAAACAGATTATATAATAAAAACAATAGTTCATAGCTATGACATTACAAAAAATATTTCTCTTATTTTTCTGTCTGGAAGTTCATTTCCAGATTATATAAAGTTTATATTTTGAGACTCTGAGAAAGACCATACAGTGTATAGGTAGAGGATTGCAGCAAAGATAAAATCGCCTGCTACTGAATGAACCAAAGTGAATTGAAAATAAGTTTTCCTTGTGCAACTAAGGTTAAATCGTCTTAGTTGCTCTTCTTTGCATTTTTTCTAAAATCTCAACATTTTTTTTGTAATGTAGTGACCAAAACTGGATGCAGTATTCCAGGTGTGGTCTTACCAAGGGTTTATAAAGCAATGCTAATACTTCACATGGTTTTGATTCTATGCCTCTGTTTATACAAACAATGCTAATACTTCACATGGTTTTTATTGAATTGTATTAGCTTTTTGGTTGCTCTTGCACAGTGCTGGCTCATGCTTAAGTGATCATCCACTAGGGCTCTCACCATTACAGTTTTTGAGCCAGGTTTTGTCTAAACAGTACTTGTTCCTTTGGTTTTTCCTGCCTAGGTATAAAAGCTTGTTTTTATCCACATTAAATTTCATGTTGTTGGATTGTTCAAGTCTGTCAAGATCTTTTTGGATCCTGAACTTGTCTTCTAGGCTATTCTTGCCAGCTTAGTGCTATCTGAAAATTTGATGAGTTCCCTTTCTATTCCTTCATCTAAGACATTTATGAAGATATTGAAGAGTACTGGGCTGAAGACGGAACCTTGTGGTACCCCACTACTTACTTCTCGCCATGTAGATGTAGTATCATTAAGGACTATTCGTTGAGTATGATTTGTCAGCCATTTACAAATCCATCTAGTGATGATGCTGTCTATCCCGCATTTTTCTAGTTTACCAAGAAGTAAGTTGTGATCTGTTTTGTCAAATGTCTTGCTGAAGTCTAAGTATACTATATCTACAGCATTTTACTTATCTACTAACTAAGTCATTTTGTCAAAGAATGAAATAAGATTGGTTTGGCATGATCTGTTTTTAACAAACCCATGCTGGCTATTAGTTATCACCAATCCAGGCTTCTCAGTTTCCCAAATCATCTCATTGGCTACAGAGGATGGATTAGATGGACTTATGATCTGGTCCAATAGACTCCAATGTTTTAAGAGTAATGCATTGACATTTGAATAATACAGGATGGGGTGGCCATGAGAATTCTTATATACTGGTATTTATGTGCAGATAAATTAATATAAAGTTGATGATATGGAGGGACTATAGCAATTGCAGTCACAGAAGGCTCTTGAATTTGATTACTATTTTTACTCAAAATGCCTATTTTTGGATTCTCTTTTTCTTCCACATCCCAAGGAGTTTACAGTAGGAAATAATAATAATATTACAGAAAGCTAAAGAGGAGAGTGGAAAGAAGAGGAAATAGAATGAAATGTTATTTTAGTTACATAAGGGTGGGACCTGTTGCATCACAACATAGGATATCAGGGCCTGAGCCAAAGGATTCGTGGAATAGGAGGATTAAAGTCTTTGCATGCAAAATCCCCTACTAACTTCCGAAGTGAGCAGGTGGATGGTACTTTTGTAAATTGACTCTACCCTACATTTTTATCAACAACACTTCATTAATGATACTTGAGATATGATAAATTGATGTTACATAGTATACAGGTCATTGGATAATTAGAAGAACATTTTGAAAAATGCAGTCTGAATAACAGCAAGGGATTATGTAAGGATTTATTTTAATCTTCAAAGGATCAAATAAAAAAAATAATCTATGGACTGCCTGCAGTTACATAAAATATTAAAGTAGGGATGGGAGGGGGAGGTTGTTCTACTCTTGCTTTTGCTAAAAATAGAGAGGAGCCAAGTAAAGTGAATGTTTCCAAATACATTGTGACCCACATTTTCACAACAATTAAAAAAAATAAAAGCTTGAAAATGTTGCATCTGACTAGCTAAGTCTGCAGTTTTCTACTAGCATAGTTAGATCCCTCCCTGCAGGAACACTATCTAATACAGATTAAAATGTCATTGGTTTCCCCACAGGATCTCATGAAATCTGCAAAGATTCTTCCTTCAGGGAATTTCACTCATCACTGGTCACCATGGTACATCAAACTGAAGCTTTCCTTCTGTGCTCTTTAATTAAACCTAATTTCACAAGTTAAGAAACAAATGGTTCTCCCCCCCCAATCAACCCTTTGATTTCCTTTTTAACCCTTATTAAACTCAATGTCCTTCTACTGAAAGTAACCAGAGATAGCACCGAAGTTTCTTTAAAAGGATAGTGGAAAGCAAAACATATTACTCGCAAGCTGGAAGGAAAATTCCAGGCCAGGCTTAAAATGGCACAAGATAGGGTCACATCTCTTAACAGAGAGATTATCATAATGTTAATTATTAATCTATCTATATAAAAATGGAGATGTGCTTGTGTGCGTGCATGTATATTCCAGCACAACTCTGGAATGCCTCATGCAACTTCAACAAAACTTGGTACACAGATGACATACTGTCTGGGGAAAAAAATACTATGGGGGTAAGACACCCCTCTGGGGGGGGTGTTCTGTTAAGATATAGCCTGTTGTGCCTTAAAATAGCTTCTACTGTACTGCCATAAAATGGATTCTATTATACAGCGCAGTGGAGTTGCATGGTAATGGCTTCACAATACTCCCCAAGGGGGCTCCCTCTGCTAAGATCGCAAATCCAACATTAGAAATTATGTTTGGTCCGGACATTTCCCCCTATAAATAAATACCATGGCAACGGCAGGTTATCAGCTAGTATATAAATAAACACCTGTTTTCAATTGTTCCTCCTCCTGATTTTTTTGATTATCCTAGAGGTTCCTGAAAATAAATTATTTTGGGAATTCCTATACACATTGCCTTAAATCATTCTCACAGCCAGGTCAAACTAGAGTTCCTCAATATTTCTGCCAAATAGGAATAATCTGATGATATTGCAACTATTTAGACTAGGGAATCACACCTTCATCTACATTTAAATTTCTCTGCTACCTTCTCATTTTTGTTCATTCTCAGTACAATTTTTCGGGCTGAATTATAAACAATACCATTTACATTTTAGTTAATTCTAAATATAATTAACATAATATAATGTGTTCTTCCAAATGTTTCATTGCTTAAATGATTTTAAGTTAAGAGGGAGGAATTCTTGGGCTAATGCATCTGCTGCTACCAGAAATCAGGTGATACTAATATAATTTGGGATATAACTGCAGTCCCAAGTTAGATAAATTCCTGTCTATTTTAGTATGTACATTAAGTTAAGTAGCATTCTAATCTTTGGGAAATTTTTGTTTCATTTTTCAGATTTTCTTCTTAAAGATCTGCAAATATTTTTTTTTCTCCACCATATTCAGCCTTCTCTGTTGTATATAATACAATTTTTTACACAAATCTCTAACATATCTTTTTAACATAAAACATTAATGAAGTTTTAATATAAACATAAACCCAATGTAGGGTTTAACATAAATTGAAATGTGTTTGAATATTAGTAGCTCAGGTTGGTAGTTTGGCTGTTGGTTTGAGCTCCGAGCTTGGTTGCAAATATTTTGTCATCATTGGAGGAGATTCAATTCACTTCACTTCAAAACACACTGACAATATCTCCTTGAATGGTGACAAAACATTTGCAACCAAATTGCCAAGCCTGGAGCTCAAACCAACAGCCTAATTTAACATAAATTTTCCAAATGTAAGATCTTTTTTCAAACACACTCATTTTATTTCTTATGAGAGGTTCAGAAACCCATTGCTCTTTTCAAACACATATTATACATTTTTGTGGGCAGGAAAATACTATGTTGAATTTTGACTGGACAAAGACAGATTCTAGCAGAGTTCATTTTAAGCATCATTAAAACATGGAGACAACTTCTTAGTAGTTTGAAATGCTACCTTTTTCCTACAGTCACTTGATTATCCTACATTTCTTACAATCTGGCATTTGTCCCTTTAGAATCTTGCAAATTTAAAGGTTTTCCAAACAGATATACCTATATTTAAATTTTCAGCAGTGGATTTCAATTATTTTTACTACCGGTTCGCTTGTGCGTGCACACATGGAATGCTTTCCAAAACTATCATCCAGTCTCCAACCTCCCTTTCTTAGGGAAGGTTGTTGAGAAGGTGGTGGCCTTCCAACTTCGGCGGACCTTGGATGGAGCGGATTATCTAGATCCCTTTCAGTCTGGTTTCAGGCCTGGTTACTGCACCGAACCGCTTTGGTCGCGCTGACCGATGATCTCTGGCGGGCCAGGGATAGAGGACACTCCTCAATCCTAGTGCTCCTTGACCTCTCAGCGGCCTTCAATACCATCAACGATGGTATCCTTCTGCGACGGCTAGAAGAGGTGGGAGTGGGAGGCACCGTTTTATGGTGGTTCTCCTCTTA